GTGTGTGTGTGTGTGTGTGTGTGTGTGTGTGTGTGTGTGTTTATATTTGTAAACTTCTGTAAACACATTTTCCTCTTCAAAATAAAAACTATTTTTTATGTTTTTTTAATTAAACATTTGTCAATTTTCAACTTTTTCCATAACCAATATGTTTACATTACACAGTTATTCTAGCAGAATTGTATTTATAATATTTATATATACAATACATGTTTTTATGCCAATTTGGTCTTGGACAAGCTCAGATCATTAGTTTATCTGGTAAGAAATMAGCTCTTTTTCTCCAAACTCCTTCAAACACTCGTTCAAAAGGTTTCATGTCTATATCAGGTCAGATAGTTAKTGTGCATAACCTCTCTGCTAAACCCCACTTAAAATAAATGAACAGTCTACATGTGTTTGCTAAATGCTTACAGTCTGGACCTCATTTGTTGTAGGAGAAAGCTGCAAGCATAGAATAGAATAGAATAGAATAGAATAGAATAGAATAGAATAGAATAGAATAGAATAGAATAGAATTTTATTATCATAGCACAAGAGTAAAACAACACTTTAATTTTTTTTTTAACATAAAAATCTCACAGTATTGTGAAAAACAAATGAACTCACCTCATTTATTAGGTTAGTACAAAATTTAGTACATTAACTTTGAATCTGTCTATAGCCTACTGGGAAATATTTAAAGTTACTTTACAAATAGCTCCAATAAAAATAAAATTTAGAATCTATCCTCTTCTGTTATGCATCGTGACAGAATTACCTAAAACCTCCAACGTCAAGAGACTATAATTCTATAAATAGATTTGTAATTTTAAACCCAATTGATAAACTTGTTTCTAATMCCATCTAGTGGAAACCTTGAAGAARTACAWGTCCTCCCATAATGCCTTTCGTTGCCTTTTGTTTCCCGTCATTCCTTGCGGTAGATCATCTGCACCAGTGAAGATGGCGGACAAACCAGGTATTTTTTCGTGTCCTCTGCTGTGAAAAATCTACATTTTTCTCCTTAATTCCCTTTCTTGGTGTGAGTGATGAGTTTTTCACAGTTTGTTGTGTTTTATTGAGTCAGACGGGCCGTGAATCAGTCAGTCCTCCATCTGTTTCTGACTCAAACAGTCAGTCCTCCACTCCCGTCAAGGACTTTGAGCATCAGACAGAGGAAATTACAGCTAGCTGCTATAGAAGCGATCAAAATAATATACTTTTATCAATAGCTTGTTTAAAATAATTATATTTATGTTGTTTCTGCATTTGCAAGATATTGTGGCTAATTAGTGCATTATTTACACCAGAAGGCGTGTGGTAGATTATTCATCAGGCTAACTTTATTCCTTCARTGCATTAATTAACCTAGAAAAATGAACAATTAGTTCATTAACMTTGCACTTTTTCATAGCATTGCTGTCACAACATTTATGGATTAAAGTTGTAGTACGTTAACATTGATAAATTTGCCAAATATAGTCTTAACTCTTGAAGTTAAAAATTTTCAGCCCGTTTTTGTGTTGAAAACGTTTTCTGTAACTTGTGGTTCATTTGTGATCAGTACCAGTGATTGAGAAGCGCCTGATGGAGGTGAAACTGGGGGAGCTGGGAACTTGGGTCGGAGGCCGAGACTTCTCCCCGAAGGGCATCTACCGCGCCTGCGGCCGAGGTGAGCCTGATCTGAGCCTTTAACAGGTTAAATTAATAATCTGTGGATTAAAACCCACCTCTTCCACAACGTGCAGTGGTAGCAGATCTTTAGTAACCCAACATGCCATGGGCGCTAGTGATTGTGTCCCACATCAAAATACCTTATCATGTGGTACCAATTGCAAAGTGGCAAGTTTTGAGTTTTTCAGGCGATTATTTGCACACAATATAATTTTGCCCAACCCCAATGTGAACTGTTTATGTAGACTTCTGAGTCTGATCCGAAGGATATTTTTATTCTCCTAGTTTTAAAAATTAAATCACAACCTGACTTCTTACATTGAGCATGCTTGTGAAGCCAAGCTGGGCAGGAAAAAAAGATTATTTTGACTTGGGGTCATATTCTGATCCATTACAAAGTCAAAGAAGAAACTTTTAAAATTTTAAATAAGACTACTATTAATAAAGCTGCACTTGTTTGGCAGGTCATACTCAAAAGCAAGGTTTAAGAAAAATTGTTGGGTTGTCCTTAGAAATTGATTGGATTGAGGATTTTGGTGATGCAATGCTTTAAAACTCAAACTTGTTTTTTACATGAACCCTGTTGTCTCTTCCAGGCGTTGACGCCTGGTACAACAAGTACATCAACGTAAGGAAAGGAGGCTTTGCAGGCATAGCCATGTTTCTAACGGGCTACGTGGTCATCGGCTACATTTTTAACTACAGCCACCTCAGTAAGCATCTCCCTGTTCTTGTTGCTCTGTGTTAGGCATTCACATCTTCACCATCCTCTGCTCTCTTCTTACAGAACACCAACGCTGGAGGAAGTACCACTAACTCTGTGCAGCAGCCATCACACCARCAGGATGGATCTCTCAGCTCTGTTGTTAATGTGACTGTTGTGAACAATAATAATAAAAAAGAAATCCATGTATACATCTGACTCTTGTTTTCAGAGATGCACGCATTTCAAAGCTGAAGCAGCCTGAAAGTAATTCAGAGGTACATTATGGAAATGTCATTTATTGGTACAGAAAGAGAAACAGCAGGTTTTAAAGGTCTGATATCTGCTGAGGTTCATTTTCAGGAGGGAAGGAGGGGTTTAACAGAGTACAAACTGCTATAAATTTACATTCCTACAACCATTCATCACATTATTTCACACAGAAAATGACAGAACTGTAGAAGTTGTTGAATGCAGCCACGTAACTTGAGATACCAGGAGGTGACCACACCTGAAGATGCTGTAAACTGGACCTGAAACGGCTCATCAGCTCCTCCATCTTCTGCTTCACAAAACTTTTATTTTCATGTGTCAGTTTATAGGAGGCAGCACAGGACAAAGTTTATCCTCCATGTTTGAGGCTGAATACAGAGAAACGCGTCAGGAAGGAAAGTTCGACGTGTTTGGGTTGAACACCGAAGCTTTATTTTTGCACGTAGACCTCCTGTCTTTGGCTGCTCCAGATGTTTGAAGGTCACTGTCCYCTCAGGAAGGCCAGGTGACCTTTTGTACACTTGTTGGCATAGTGGCCTTTCTCACCACACTGCAGACAGAAGGATTATAAATGAGAGCTTAGAGGAAACCAACCCGACATTTATAGATCTCCATCAAACTAAAATGTGCAACTTTGTCATAAAAAGATTCTGTTTCCTCTAACAATCCATACGACAGACAGACTTGATCAGAGCAGACCCACCTTGTAGCAGGTGACCTGGTCCAGAGGTCGAGGGCCCCTGTTATGATGAGGCATGTTGTTGTGGTGACCCATGGTGTTMGTGTGGTTCAGCGGCCGCTGGCCTAGACTGGGGTTACTCAACTGGATGACGGAGAGTGATGAGCGGCTGATGGTGGGCACAGGCTGCAAACAGGCAGAGAGAGGCTGGTTTAACACTGATCAACAAAGCAGCAGGTACAGAAAGAAACAAAGAAATGAAGCGAGCACATTCAACACAACCTGAAAAGTCAAAGGTAAAATGATCAAATCCACTACAGGAGAAGCTTCAATGTAAACTGTCTTATGTTTGTTAAAGTTTTTACAGAGCTCCTACACAATTACCACAGAGAAAGTCCAGGCTCAGTTCAACTAAAAAAAGAAAAGTGCACAGAAGTAGGGCTGCAACAACGAATCGATAAAAATCGATTATTAAAAGCGTTGGCAACGAATTTCATTATCGATTTGTGATGACCCTCTCCAGTCCACTGGGTGTCTATTTTCTTTCTTTCAGGGAGTTGGCGGATGTACGCTCAGGCTGGACCTTAAAAGCCGGGTTTCATGCTCGTTACAGCAGCTGGGTCCTGGCCTCCAGGTTGGACCTGGTGGGAGCAGGCAGTGGACTTGTGCTCATATGGGCTGTAGTTGACAATTTTTTATTATTTGTTGTTTTTAGAATAAATAATTATTTTTTGCATTAAATTCACTCGTCTGTCTCCCATTTTTGTCATGGTCCTGAGCCGGGCTGTGACAGGTTCTTGCAGGTTGGTATCCTCCAGTATAATGTCACTTTGCTGAGTCTACAGGCAAACACTTGTGAATGAATTCTCCTGCTCTGGTGTTGAGTTTAAAGAAAAGTGACAAACCCTGACAAGCCAGTCAGAAACCACAGTGACAGCTTGACTGATTTGATTTGATTTATTGATTTAACAGGAAAAGATTGCTAAAAATCGAGCCTGACTCAGCATAATTGCTGTTTTACAGCAGGTT